CTTGGGAACTCGGGGCAGCGGGGGCCCTGCGGGCCGTGCCCTGGGGGGAGCTGGGGCCACCCCCTCAGCGCTTTGGGTCGTTAAAGTCGCCCTCCCCTTGGCCCACACCGAAAGGGAGAAGGAGGCTCCTCTATAAAATCCGTTTGCTTGCTTGCTTCCGTGCTCTCATTGTTTTTTTCCAAGCATAACTTTCAAAAGGGGTGGCAAATCCTTCCAAATAATAAGGGGAGGCTGTTGTGCGGAGAGCAATTGGCTTGGTGTTGGCTTCGCGGCTTGAGTGCAGGTCCGCTTGCCGAAATACCGAGCTGAGCACCCAGCGTGAGAGCTGCTCCGCGAAAATGCAAACCCCCTCAGCGAAATTGAAATCAGTTACATGTTTCAGGTTGAGTTACTAGCTGTAAAAGTGCAGATGCCTAATCTACCTTTGGCAATCGCCATCCCTTTCCCACAGAGCAGGCAAAACGACTGTGGGTGTCAGAAGAATGAATCTCTTCAGGTGCATGTCTTCCTTTTGCTGATTATATTGCAAAAGACATGAGACTCGTAAGAGATGAAGAAAATGAGCCACGGTATTGGTGAAAATGAAGCATCACGCAGATTTAGGAAAGTTTGTCATACGCATTTATTTTACGTTAACCTGTAGAGAGAATGTTTTTCTTCTTTCAACAGATAAAGGCCAGGAAGTGTTTGTTTTTCTGTTTGTTTCTGGTAGAGAAAAAAATGTAAAATTCAAGAGTTGTCAGATATGCAAATTTTAAAAAGTTACATGTTTATCTAGAATACCTTGACTGGAAACAAGCTATGAAGACAAAACACAAAGCGCCCAGGACAAGGACACTGTTTTCTCAAAGGGAAAATCTCACGTTGAAAATCTTTGGCTGTACCAGAAGGAATTTCTTCTGGTAAAACAAACTGAAATTGTTACTGAAAATACATTTGGGCTGGGTTTTATTTTTATAGCCTCCGTGATCAGTAAAAGACCATATCAAGTGAAAAGTCTTGATGAGATTGTTTAAAATATCTAAAGTGTTTTGTAGAGATCTGTGAACCTAGACTTCACATAAAACAGTTTCGGAATCAGTAGAAAAAAATGAAAGCCTTTCTTTTTGTTAACAACTCTCTTCACTTGATATCTAGATTTTATATATATATATATATATTTATTTATTTATATGTTTTAAATATGACTTCTCTGTCTTTAAATATCTGGAGAGACTCATCTCTCAGTATTTCTCTCCTGTATGGGTCTGACAAGAAAACAAAATCTAATCACCCTGTAGGAAATGACAGAGAATGTTTACTTGATAAGCTCTGCAGTACAGCTGAGTATGTGGAACAGGACACTGGAAGGTCAAAGAGCTTGTACTGCATTAAGATTGATCCCCTCACTAGTATTGGATTTGCTGGTTCTGTGAAAACACAGGTGTTTGCACGGCTAAGAAATAGTCTCAGCTCTAGGAGAAATGGGAGGAAAGATGTGATATTTACAGTTCAGAGGAGATTTTGCCTTTCTCCTTTCCCAAGCAGTACGGTTTGTTTCCTGCAAAATTTCAACTGCTGTAACCAGCATTTTGTGCACTAGATCGTTTGATCCAAACATCAGGCATATCTGGTTGGCTGTTTGGTAACACAACTGGATCTTCACTCCCTAATCCAAATCGATTTTTCCATGAGGAGCTGTTTTGCTGTGATGCTACTGGCGAGATATCAAACACAGTCTCCCTCAGGTCCAGCCGCAGGGTATCTCTCTTCCCGTTCAAGTAACCTCTTTCTGTTTGACTGTATGAATCTGACAGCTCTAAAACATCTGGACAAGAACTGGCTGATTCAGCAAGTTTTAGGCCTTGCTCAAAATCACTAATTGACGTCTCACTGGAGATGTTGAGCATGTCAAAAGAGCTGCCAAGAGAACAAAGGCATCTGTGAATTTTGTAGATGTCAGCAGCAGGAAGATGACTGTTGTCTGAGGTATAATCTGACTGCTGCTGGGCAGTGTCACTAGAGCACTGTGATTTATTGAGCTGCCCGTCATCTTTCACACCAGCCAGTTGGATGTGGTCCAGCACAGACTCGTCCCAAGCTTTTGGACCGTACTTTTGACATTGACAATCTCTACAGAGCCTCTCCCTTTGAATTTCTGCTCCTGAGCTGCTGTGCTTGTATGGAGAAGACGTCTGTAAGGCAGGGCACTGACACAGACCAACCTGCTGGTCTCCAAGAGTCTCCTGCAGATTCTGTCTTTCTCTTTCAAGAGAAGGGTGCATTCCTGTTCTGGGGCATCTGTTGTCTTCCAGTTGTGTGTCTTCAGACAGTACTGATGGCCGATTGGACAACTTGCTTGTGGAAGTGCTGTTGTCAAAACTGTCACTGAGTTTTCTGGACAAGGGCTGGAGCTCATATTGCTCATTTGCAGTGTTGGACTCCTGGACCTTACGCAGTCTGTTTTGCTTCTCACTTCCCCCACAGGCAAAGCTTCCATTCAGCCCAGAGTCATCAGAATAGTCTTTCATGGTGTGGGCACAAGGCCAAAGGATCTGCCCGCAGTTCTTCTCTGGGCCAAAGAAGCAGCACAGTGACTGGAAGAAGAAGCTGGCAAACCCACAGCTGATACACTTGATCATCATTATGAATATCCCCAGCTTCCTATACGCCAGGACGGTAGCCGGCAACATGATGACCCCTGCAGAGAACAGAGCAGAAGCTGCCATGGCTGTGGCACAGCTCATCTGCTTCAGGGAAAAGGCCACTCGGCTTAGGCGATCAGAATGGGGGCACAAATGGTAGGAGATGCAGTAGTTCACGGTAAAGTCAACGGAGAGACCTACTGCAGCTGAAATGAAGAGAGATTCCACTGCATTGAGCTGCCATTCCAAGAGGACCAAAAGGCCAACAGTTACCAGGACGGTGCCTGCAATAGCAGTAACGGAGAAAACGCTAAGGAGAACGTTCCAAGTGGTGAGCAGCAGCACTACAAAGGAAATGGCTATGGAGAGCCCCATGACCACCATCGTTTCTGTGCTAAGACTGTGCTGAAGATTGTATAGCTCTAGTTTACTGGTAAACCATCCGTTTTGAAGCCCCACGGGGGCAGTTTTCATTTCCTCTGTTATCCAGAGGTTGATTTCCTCGTAGAAATGTTTGGCTTTGCTGTAATTGAAGCTGTAGTGATAAATAGTTTGAAACTGTAGCACTAAGGCAGCAAGATTTCCCTCTCCGTCAAACCTGAGACCCAGATCATATGTTTCAGCCCCTTCCCTACCTTGTTCCAGGAGCATCATTTTGATGCAGTGTAGGAAAACGTCGCTTCCGTACGGGAAAGAGAACTGGTTACAACAGAGGTTGAAGCTGTGGTCTCGTTGGGAGCATTGGCGACTGTCCATCCACCTGAGAAACTCCTCCATGAAGCACACGGTAGATTTCTGCTCAGCATCGGGGTAATAGAACGTTTTGTTCTTCACTTTCTGGCAGAATTCGAGGAGCCACTTCTGGGCATCGGGATTTTGGATTGTAAAGGTGATATCTGTCACTAGGGTGCCATTGCTTTTTGGATTGAAATGATCCCCATTATCCACAGGCAGAATGCCCCATACTATTGTGACAGGCATACGCTGTCCTTCTCCGTGCTCCAGCCTCTCAAACATGAATTGGTGACAGTACTCGGAATCGTACCTCTCAAAAGGATGGCTCAATCTAAACACCTGAACAGATGATGTCTCAAGAGTAGGCAGTTTGAGCTTAGGGTTGGAACAGGAAATGTAGGCACCTCCTATTGCTAAGGCTGCAAACCAGCAGATCCAGATGTACCGAAACTTTATGACCCCGCAAGGCAGAAGCTTCTCAAATAACAGCTTGGAGGTTTCACACAATGTGTTCTGGAGACCCCTGAGAATGTAATGGAGGGAGACAATAACTCTCTTATGGCCAGTGTTGTTCCAGTAGTCTTCCGGCTTGTAAATGCAGTTTGTTGCTATGTAGCGCTCGTACAGGACAGCAGAAGAAGGAAGCCAAGTCATCATGAATACCAGGTTCACCAGTACAGAGGTGCCCATGTAGACAGCAAAGCAGCGGATGGCTATTATATTGCTAATGTAGCTGGCATAGAAAGCAGCACCTGTTGTGAAGCAAGATGCCAGCATTAGATATGCAAAATGGTGCATGGTTTGACTCACCCACTGAGGAAGCCCAGCAGAAGGGTTCTGGCTCTTGCTGAGGTTCCAGAGGTCAAAAAAGACAAAGGTATGATTGGCACAGATGCTGCTGAGGATTACAATTGCTGTCAGGTTTACAAAAGGGAAGTAGGTGAATCTGAAGGCCACCTTGTACAAGAAATAGGAGATCATCAAAGAACTGACAACAGCGAGCAGGACCATAAATGTAATAAAGACCGAGCGCAAGTAAAAAGAAATGCTTAGAAAAATGGCTAATATTGCCAGGACTGGATACTTAGTATCCAGTAAAAGATAATGCTGGAATAGTTTCTGTTTAAGGCCCAGGTCCATTCCAGTAATAGATGTATAATTATCAAACAGATCCCAGGATTCAAGATTGTCTAGATAGATCCCCATCATAGATGCACCTTTCCTTGTAGGCAAAAACAGCAGGCTGTATTTGAGAGATGGCACTTGGTACTCCATTGTCTGGGGACTAAGAAAGTCTCTGTCGACCAAGAAGTGAAGCAGCTGATAAATAGCATTGAACCGGGTACATTTTTCTGGGACGTTAGCACACTGAGAGTGTTTCTGTCTCACAGTCTCAGGACCTATGCAAGATGGAGTAAGGATACCTTTGTGGTAGTCTGGAGCGCAGGAACGAAGGAGAGCCAGGGTATGGGAAATGTCTCCTTGGGTTATCTCCAAACAAGAAGACCTATTGTACAGGACAGCAATATAGTTCCCCAGAGACCAGCTTGGGCAGCATTCATTGGCCTCAGTACGTTGACAGAGGTCTCTAAAATGAACATGTGAGCGTATCTGAAAAATAGTCAAGGGAGCGTCATGTTAGATCCCCTCTGCACACTTCATCTCGCAGCCCCTTTAGTGTTTCCTACTTTTTACAGTGATGTTCTCCTCCCCTGCATCTTTACAAGCCATGGTTCCCCATCCTCCCAATGGCAGACTGGAAATACTGCAGCTGTGGAAACACACTAGCCTTTTGCAAAAATTAAACCCTGTCCATTTATATTTTATAATCTCTGATTTGAACATTTGGATCCTTCTCCACTCTGTTGCTCTTCTCTTAGTAGTGGCAGTGCCCTTCACTTCACAATTGTTCTCAAGGTGAGAACAGAGAATGGAGATGCTTTTTCTTCCTTTCCTTCTCCCCTCCATCCCCAACCTTCTTTATCCTTTCTGCCTTAACTGTTTTTTCCCCACCCCGGAGATGTTCTTGGAGGACATCAGCTCCATGTGCAGTGATGCGATCACCTTCCTACCACCAAATATTAAATCCTTAACACCACTTCTGCAGTAACTGTATAGGGCAGCTGAGCTATTTTCTTCCTGTCCCTGAGGCTGTTTTGTTGGGTATTTGGAAGACCAGAGGTATGGTCAAACCTTGCAGCTTTGGAAGGTTTTCCAGTGGCTCCAATTTCCATCCTTCAAACACTGTCCATAGCCTACTTGGCAGCCCTTACCATCCTTGATAAAACCACGTCAAGCCCTGCCACTTCCCACCTGGTGCCTCATCCTGTTGCTCTACGTGGTACTGTTACAGCAAGGATCCTTGCCAGCTGTTATTATCAGTCTTGTCAGTAAAATCACTGGCAGCTTAGAAGATTGCATGCAGTCCTCCCTGGGTGGACAGAGTTTCATTTGCTTACCCATACTAAGGCCGCACAGCCTTAGCATTCAATATTCAGTGACGTGGTTAGGTTTGGGAGCCTGCACTTGCCTATGTGCTGTGGGGGCTGTCATACAACTGTGGCTTAAAACCTAGCTTGGGCATGTCTCCGTGAATGACACATCTAGCACAGTGCATTGTAAACATACCACCTCCCCTCAACAGGATGTCACACTCTTGCAGTACAGGTTTCCAGAGAGTCTGATCACTTACAGTTTTAAAGATCCTATGGCAAACATAGCTAATCCAATTAAACTTTCCACTTCCACTTGCGAGACTTGCTGTGACAGTCTTTGAGATGATAGCTCCATTTCAGTAATTACGTTCTGCTGCTCAAAATTCTCAGCAGCTTCTGATGGGCATCTTTAGCTTCTGGACTGGGCTCTTGTTCGGTGTGGGTTTATTCTTGTTTAACAAAAGCTGCTACTTTGCAGCTGGATTTTAGTGACGGGTGAAGTCACTCTTGTATTGCTAAGTATGTGTAAATGCTTAGGAGTCTCGGCTGAAACCTGTTCTGTAGCTTACATTATTTTTGTCTTGTTTCCTTTCACCTAGAGATTAAAGATAACGACAGTCAGAAAGAACAGCATGTATATATGTTCTTCCTGACATTACTAACCTTGTCTTGTTCAATTTGACACATGGACTGAATAGCTTGCAAGTTCCATAAGCTCCCAGCAGTTGTGGACATAAATACCAGCTGGGAATAGCTCTTTTCTGGAAAAAGAAATGTATTAGATAATGAAGATGAATCAGCCAAGCTGTTTGGAGTAATCCCTCAGTGCATTAAAAGATATATATATATATCTCTTACTGTCTGTAGGACAGCTATAGAAGAACTCCCTGAAGGGAGGCAGGTCACAAAGACAGTAGCTCATAGTGAGCAGTAGCATCTGCCTTGTGTGATCTGACCCCTGCTCCTTGCTGATCTGTCAGCACTGGGAGAGCAGGCATGTGGCATGTTCAAAATGTGCTCTCCATGCTATGAACATCCTTTTAGTAACAGTATTGGCATCTGGTTCTGTACCCCCTATTACAAAGTGAGGAACTGAAGTTCAACCCAAAACGCCCAAGGACCTTAGGGTTTGGGGTTTGATTGGTTTTAGAGGTGGGGTAGGGGCAGAGAAGGCAGTCAGAACGTCTGCGCGCTGTTCCTTTTTCTTCTAGTCATTGGTGCCACTTTTGGCAGAAATTTGGGGTATCCTGGAATTTTCCTTTTTCTCTCTCTAGTTTTTACTGCCTCTCACATTTTTCAAGAAGAAAAGAAGGAACAGACAGAGTGGGGCATACACCATCTTTTCACAGTATTAATTTTGTATATAACTAAATGGTGCAAACATTATTCTTTATGTCGGTACTTTTTAGATATATTTCTAAAGAGGGAAAGGAAGTATGGGAAAAAATAAGAAAGAGAAGCAACTCTTTACCAGAACTGCAGAACAAGCCCTTTCTAGCCATTTAAGTTTCTCAGAAAAATTTAAATTTTCGTGATTTTTTCTGAAAAAATCACCAAATTATATTTTAAGGTAGAATTCAATAATCACTATGCTAATACTTTTTTAATTAAATGCAACTTTTCGGAGAAAAATAATACCATAAAAACATACAAATCAATATTATTAAAAATCTTTGGTAATAGTTCCATTTAATTATGAAGGGCTGAGAAATGACTACATGAAAGGTGGCTTAGTGTTCACAGAATGGTGTTATTTGCACTACTTTCTTGGAGCACTTCAGAACATTTCTCTATGTTTTAAAATAATTTGACAATTCTGTATGCTGTTGAGCTTCTGGATGCGTAATATTTAATAACCCACCAAGATTTCACTCACCTGGGGGACCACAAAAGAAACCATCTGCTCCATAGATGTGTTCCACCATTCTCCGTGTCCTCGCTTCCTGTTCACCTGGAACAGCCTTCTGTCCTCTGCTAATGCCCATGCCATCATAGCTAGCAAGAAATCAGAATATTTATATCACTAGATACCTCATCTAGCTATGAATTACATGACTGATCAGGGTCTAGTGCCACACACAACCTTGCTACAGCAAAAGGAGTGGTCATAGTCTTGAAAGACAGCATTACTTGGATGAGATCATTTCAGTATCGGATGAAAAGCAGGTTTGACTGTTCCCGTTTAGAGTAACCTGAGTGAGACTAGGAGTGAAACTGCATCCACTTGGGCAGATGTGTTGACTCCCTCAGCAGTCTCTCAAAGGTAATCAGTGAAGGTAACAGATGAAGAGTTTAGAGCCTAATTCCTGTTTTCCAGAGTAGGGAATCTAAGTCTCATTGCAAGTGAACAGACTTTAAACTTTCCAATGCCTTGGTCACTTTCGAGCGTAGGATATATGTTCTAATTCACATAAGATATCTTTGCTCATTGAATCTATCACAGCTGACTTCTTCCCCAAAACCCCCAACCCAAACCCAAATACCTGTTCTTCTCAGTATAGGGAGAAAGGGAAAAGGTCTTCTTGTAGCCTGTATGGCTCTCTACGTTCTTCCACACAATGAGCTTTCTGCCAATGTCAGTATCTCGTGGCTCGAAACCCTGTAGCCAAGAAAAAGGGGTTTGTCATCACCTTGTGTTTTAGTTTAGCTTAGCTTTCCTTAATCCTCCTCTTAGACCCAGAAACTGTATGGGATTATTACTGCATCTTGGAGAGATACACAAATTGAATTTCTCCTGGAAAGAGTCATACTGCAACCCAGAGCTGACTGAGAAACATTTCTCCTTTCTTTTTTGGTCAAAGATGACTTCATTTCTGTCTCCCTGATCTTGTAAGACTCCTCTCTTCTTCTTTCAAATAATTACTTACAGAAATTGAAGTTATTTTCTCCTTCCTGGACAAACTCTAGTCTGTTCTTATTTTCTCAGAACTCTACCTCTAATGGAAGACAGGGATAACTTCAGAAAATGCAGGGTCTTGTGTGGAAAACAGGACCTTGTGCAGCAATTCTCAAGACTGGACAGCCTCCCCACTTCAGGAGTCTCGCACACAGGCTATAGGAGCCAAAGACAGGCCCTCCATCCAATCTCCACCCAACCTGGCTAGTCCTTTTTGCCTACTCCAGCTTTCCAGCACTGGAGGAAGATCAAAACGAGTAATCACAGTTTGTATTGGGAGTGAGCCAACTCTTGCCAAGGGGCCAGCAGACTGAGTGGAGAGACAAGCAGCACTCTGGATGCCTGCACACCAGAGTAAGGGGTAGGCTGTAGGCTCCCACTGGGACAGACAGCCCCTCTCCAAACTGAGGAGATGAGGACTTTCTTACCCTGCAGCAAGACTGGGAGTCTATAGCATTGCTGAGAGATATTTGGCAGCTGCTGCTGGCGCAGGCTGCACTCCCTCTCTCAGGCTGGACCCAAACCCAGCTCAGGAGTGAAGCTTGGTCCCTTCGCCAGGGGCCAAGTGCAGCCTGAAGTTTGGGGCCAAGTGCAACCTGAAGTTTTCAATGCCCAGGTAGTACATACTTACTGCTAGTAAGTCCTGAGAGATGATTTTTCTCTCAAGGGAGAGCGCTGGAGACGTATCTCCATATGCTGCAGGAACCGATTTTCGGGAGGGAACAGAAAAGTTTAGAAGCTGATGAGGACATACTACCAGAGCAACATGCTGGACCTCGGTGAGGGACATTTAACACTGAATACCAACAGAAATACTTCCATAGCGGGAGCCACTAAGCAGTGGAATAGTGAAAGAGAGGGAAATGAGAGCCTTTCACTAATGTCCTTTAAAGATTTGATAGGCTAGACACAGTCCTGTCCAGACAAAAGAATGGATGAAGTCACTATTTCTGTTTTTGGTGGCTGTGGTATCAAGGAAAGGATTAGTACTGTTCGTGACTCTCTAACGTTATGTCCGTCCCGAAGGAATCTTACTTTGGTTGCACGCTGTGAAGATGAGGGGAAAAGACCACTGATCACTGATCACTGACAAACATTACCATTTTTTCTAGTGGCTTTTATGGCCTCTTTGATTTACTGTCCTGCCTTGCTGCCTCTATCTGCAGAGAAGCAAGGAAGCCTATCCTAGTTTTGTATGGGAGAAGGAATACATCATTGGCTGGCCCATGGATTTTCCTTATGTTCATTTTGACATATTGTCTGTAGGGACTTACCATTAAGGGTTCTGAGAAATCTGGCAAATTTCCAACAAGCAGGCCAGCTAAAGTACAAACCACAGCTGTCACTGAACACAGCGCCAGGACAGCTACGGGCCATTCAGCGATCATTTGAGAATAACTGGAATCAACAGGAGAAAAAAAAAAAAGCAACGATTAAGGCACTTCTGCTATTAGCATGAAACCTGCTGTTGAACTAATAGAGTGTTAGAAAAAGCAAGTAACAGAATTAGGGCTTTCTGGTTTATTTATTGAAAAGCTTAGAGGCTCTAGAACAGCTATTAATGAACATTTTCTACCTCCGACTGGATGTTTGCAGGCAATTCTAATTAACTCAGGTAATTACATTTTGCCTCCCTATATTTTCCTGCTTTTTCAACCAGAAATAATAAAAACCAGACTGTTGCATCCTAAGGCAAAATGAAGCTTTAAATATTTAACCTAAAAGATTCTGTTTAAAAAGAGCTTCTTCCTTCTTTTTTTTTTTCCCCACTGTACTACCAAAGCTAGTAGCTGCCTGACAGTTTGGCCTGCAAATTTTCACCTTGTGGACCCTGAGGAGTCTATGGGCTGTTCCAAAGGGTCCCCTAAAGATAACTAAGTAAAGCAAGTCTACTGTCATTGATCTAAATTCACTCATTATATAGGGGTCTGCCTTGCTTCTGGGAAATGTGGAGACTTTGGCAAAGCAAAAAAAGATGGAAACCACTGATTTAATGTGCAACTGATTGTCAGCAGCATTCACAGAGTGGATAAGTGGCTTCTGAAACTTCTGAATCGCGCTCTGATCTCAGCCTCAAAAGCAAATGCCAAACATACGATAAAAGCACCTGCAAATGTCTCGCATAGCAGACCATGGTTATACATTTATATACTTCATGGTTCTGAAAACACAAACAGCCCAGGCTAGGCCTGGAATACACGAGCGTGGTGCGGTGGCACATACACTTTTAATGACGTTTCTGTACAAAGAAAAGCCCTGCTAGAGAAGCGAGTTACTCAGGCCAAAAGTATTTCTGCCTGTGCAGTTACTTTTGTTCTAAGAACTTCTCTAAAATTTTCCACTGAAAGCCTATATTTTTGTTGGTACAAACTGTCTCCCCGATAGGATGGCCTGTTGAAGTAGCTACCGCACAATCTTTTACTAATATAGGTTTTAGTGCCTCAGATTTTTGTCTCCCTCAAAAACATCTGTTAGAGATAAGATACTGGAATAGGTTCCTGCTCTGGTTTGGTGCATTTCTAAATATCTCTGATGTTCTCAAGTCTAAGAAATTCTGTGTTCAAAAACAGTCGACAAATATTTGAGCTTCATGGGGAGGTGTAATATTTATGAACCTTAGATAGAGCAACTGTGCTGGTGCTTATCGGTCTTGAGATGCAATGTTCCTGCTTTCCTAGTCTTTTGCTTCTCTTACTCCAGGCTTCACTGAGTCAAATAATACAGGTTTTTCTCATGATTAGAAATAATCATAAGCCCTTCAAATGGCTTTTTACATGACTTTAGATCAGGCCTGTTTTTTTTTTTTTTCAATTTAGGACTTCTTTAGCAAATTTGTTTTCCTAAATCAAATCCTCACTATGAAAATGTACAAAAATTACCCTTTACATATTATATTACTTAATTTCTGAAGACTGTTTCTAGTAATTCCATGTCCAATTATCAAAAAAGAAGAAAAAGCAAACTGTAATATCTAGTGGTGAAAGATGTGTAGCCAAACCTCCCAGAAAAAATAGTTTACAAAAATCAGTTTTTAAACAAGAGTTGAAAGCAATCAATGTATTTTAATTTTGAGAACTCTATTAAAAGTGATTTTTTGAAAAGGCGGACTTAATTTTTTATTTTTTTAAAGGGATAAAAACAATTACAGAGATGTTTTCATGATTTTTAAATTTAGGCATTTCAACTGAAGTCATTGTTTAGGCATTTTACATTCTACTACACACGTAAATGCAAAATCCGTGTTCTTTAGGAACAAGCAATTTCCCTGTTGCTTGTTTTCATTCCCTGAGAGTTTTCCAAATATTGTGAAGAAACTCAATAAAGATAAAAATTGCTATAAAGCAAATACACTGAAAAGTGTTACATCCAGATTTATTTCTGAAAATTAGGCAATCTTTATGCTTTAATAATCTAATTTACCATATTTGTACAATTCTTGAGGGGATTAAATGAGATCTTTGTGCTGGTAGTATATCTTTATGTGTTCACCTTCTTTTAGTTGAAATTTAAAAACAGAAGACTGGAGATAAAGGAAACAAATAATTATTGTATTTGTCTTTTCTATTAAAAATGTTATTTTCTCAAGCATGACTAGACTAGCCATAATTTTTTTCAGCATCAGGCAGTATCATTTTTTTTTGCTCAGAGATTGCCTCTTGCAGAAAGCTAGAATTGCATTTCCTCGGCCTAACCTCCTTTGAAGGTTTTACATCTCCTAATTTAATTGCAGATTTTCTGGTGTATAAATCTATGAAATACTAGGAAGCATTACACATCATCTTGAAACAAAGATCTTTTCCACTATATCCTGTGAGGAAATGCAAGTCTCCACTGCTATTGCTATTGCTACCCTCCCACAAGCAAGCTCTCCTTGAATCTAGTAATCAGTAGTATAATAACAGCACTCTAGGTATCATGCTTTTATTTCTTGGCTGTCTGTCCCAACACACTTAAAAACGTTGAATAAAAAAACACTAGCTGTTTTTCCAAAGGAAGAAGAAATGAGGCACAAAACAGTGAAGTGACTTGACTAAAGTAACACACAAGAGTTAGCGGTAGCACTGGAAGTACATTCCAGACATCCTTGTTCCCCATCTGATGGGCCAAGTAGGATAAGTCCATTAAAAAAAAAATTAAGCTATTGTATGGACTAGAGGCAGGCACCTGCCCTGAGATCAGCTATCAAGACACTGTTTCTATTCATTAATGCAGGTTAAATTGATCTTGCTAGCAAATTGAGATTTTTCCAAATGAATGGGAAGTGCTGAGCGGGGAGCTCTGACCTTGCCTTTGATGCGATGCCTGCCTGGGATGTCACCAGCAAAAATACACATTTCCTAATAGCAGGGTGGGAGAGCAATGATAATAGGGTAGCAGGACAGGAGGCTTTTGATATTAAACATACCTTTTTGGCATCCTGAAAGCTTTGTCATGTCTGCAGACAGAGAAAAAGAAATGTGTTCATTTATTATTTTAATATTTATTATCAAAGTGCTGTGCTGTTAATGAGCAAGTTAACCCTTTCAGGGTCTGTAAAACCCCAAGCTAAGCAATTGCTGCAAGTGTAGCTGCAGCAGCAGAATACCACCTGGCACTGCATGAATCAGGCAATCTAATTAATAACACAGTCTCTTCTTCTCCCATTGGCATTTTAACTGAACGCGATGGGAAGACGTGTAGTCAGTCCCGATTTTTAACCCTCTAGAAAACCCTGAGGAATGTAATGGACATAATATAATCCCACAAAAATCGCACTGTAACTCTTACGCATAAAACTCTATCAGTTTTAAGCGCTTTCATAGTGATTTTGTAATTGTTTCATGACAAGAGCGTAATTACTAAATTTCTTAAGTTGAGTTAACAATGCCTCTTGATAATTTGTATTTCCTAAGCTCAGCAAGGGTTTTCCAAAACGGTGAATCTCATTTGTCTCCTGGGCTCTTCCCAAGGCAACATTCATACAGTCTAGAGGAACAGAAGGCCAATGGAGCTGTTCAAAACATTTTACCGGGACTTTCTTCACAGAGGAGCATTTGTAATTCCTGTCTGTAGGGCCCTGAGGAATCAAATGAAGAAGCCTTCTGCAGGGGTTCCACGGTTACCTTTGTTATCGAATCCTTGAGGGCAAGCCTTTCCACTGATATAACAACAGAAAAGCTCAGTCGGTTGCCGTAGCTGAAGGGCTTTTTCCTTCCGCTCTGCATTTCCCCGGAAATGTCTCTTTGAAATATGCCCCAGTCAGGCATGGCCCTGGGTTGCTCAACATGCTGTTGCATTGCCAGCAGACTTGTGACTGCATGGCAGCAGGCAGCAGGGTGCCAGCTTCTGAGCCACTTGGGCAAGGCTGCCTCCAGCAAATTGCTCCCGGCCGCTGCCGCCTCCTCCTGTGAGAGCCGTGCCACACTCAACTCAGCAAGCGCCCACTCCTCCCTTCGCATTCCTCCCACGCTCTTTGCTCAATCTTGGAGAAAGTCCTGCCCCGCTCAGACACCCGTGCAGGGTGCATTGCCTGGGCTCCCTGCTCCACTCTGGGCAGCCTGGTGCTGTCCCCCAGGAAACCAGTGACCCTATGGCAGCTCATCCCTCCTGGCACATTGTTGTGAATGGAAGGATGGAAAAGCAACAAAGAAAACATCTCCCTGGAAGAGATGCTCTTGGTGGCAAGTGTGATCATGTACTAAATCATATTGCATTTTCCTCATCATACTAATGCTTCCGAGATTTGGAAGAGAGGAGAGCAAAGAAAAATCCTCACTGAATTAATAATATTAAAGGGAGGTTTCATTCTGGTAGCGCACTGCACACCTCTGTGCTAATTCTCTCACAATGGCTGCTCAAGCAGATTTGCTCGGATTAAAAACCACGTTCTGTCATTATTATGATATTGCTCTTCTATCTGCCAGCGCTGCACATTCTGCCAGGGATTTGCAATCCAGCTGTGTTTGCTGCCTAAATAACCTGTTGCAGAGAATGTAGTTGACAATTTTGTTGATAGTGAATGAGCCAAAAAGGATTCAGGCTTCACTCCTCTGGCTGCAATTGCTCTACATTGCAAACCGAAACAAATTAAATCCTCTGTTAATGATTAGAAAATGAGACCGTAAAGGGCTTTTGTGCCTCACCCTGCACCGCTTTACAAAGGCAGAAATTCAGTGCTGCCTCTTATTGGACTTTGGTGCCTTTTGCTGTGGTAGCAAAGGGATCGTGGTCTTTAGTGCCAGCAGTAGACTCCAGAGGGCACAAGAAGCAAGGAAGGATAATGCTGGCTGGAAGGAGCAGAGGATGTATTTCAGCCTGTTAAGGATGCCAGGCCTGCATGCGTTGTTGTTACAGTGCCGCCTGAGAAACATCTACCGTTCAAGCAAGTCACTGGGCGCTCTGCACGCAAAGGGATTTTGTCTGGTTCTGTCATGGGCAATACAGAATTTACACCCTTGTCACTACCCAGCCTAGGAAACCAAGTGATCTTCCCCACCTTTGTACTTCTCACTGCTCTGCTGTAGCCAGTGCTTAGCCTCTGCTGCCTCTCCACTCCAGCACAGGCAGTGGCTTTGGTGGGGGTAGACAAAGAATAAGTGTGCTCTTATCACTTGGAAGCGCTTGCCGAGCTAAAGGATTAGACAGCTGGATATCTTGCAGTGTAAAAGAAGAAAACACTGGAGTCACAGAAGATAGGCATGGTTGCAGCTGGATGATCTAAGAGCAGCTGAGTGACCTGGGCTTTATCTGATGATTCACCTTGAGAAGCAAAGCCTGCCTCTTCCCGGTATGGGAACGGAAGGTGCTAGCAGCTCCCTGTACAGAAGTGGGGAGAGCAGCCTGGATCCCTCCATGCTCTTTGGGTTGGCTGCTCTCCAAAACTGAGGAGGCAAAACCATGTGTCATGCATCCCAGATCAGACCCTTCTCACCCCACTGCCCACGACGAAGCTCAGGGGAGGTTCTCTGCAATCTTCTGACTTGCTCTCCAGGTGCCTCTTACCTGACTGTTACAATGTGATGCTGCACTGGCCGTGAGGGTCGCTGGCCAGGGGACCACTGTTTCCAGGGAGTTTCCGAGACGTCATGGTGGGAAGCCGGTGTGGGATCACCGCTGGAATGGTGGGAACACAGCATGGGCCTCTCGCCATGCCCTGGGAGTGGAGGCAGGCCGTAGCTGCCTCCGGGCTCCTGCTGGTTGCAGGAGTAATACAGGTGAGGCTGCTGTGAGCCCTGGGAGCTGGATGGTACCTGCCCATTGGACTGGGTTGAAATTGGTCCAAGCGTGTGGCTGGAGGAGGGCAGGTGCTCTCCCCCTAGCCTGGGGGATGCAGGAATGGGGCAGTGATGGACTGGGCAGATTCTTTCCCAGGAAGTTCCACTGTAGCTGAGCTCGGTGTTCCCAATCTCTGGCATGGCGAGACAGGTCTGGCAAGGTCCTGCATTTCGTTTTTCTCTGTGAGAGAAAATAAAGGGTATGTTAAAACTTTTCTCTGTTAAAACACTGGAGCAGTAGAAAGGCTGGGCAGAGGGACTGCATCTTGCAAACTGAAGCCTCTGACGGGCATCCAGTATAACACAAGCCATGAAACTTCACCCAGTATTTCCTGTATCAACAGCCAGTCCTAGGGCTGAGCTGGACTATGTTTTTAAAGACATCCGTGGCTCAGTCAGAGACTGCAAGTGATGGAGAATCTATCACATCTTTGTGCACGTTGCTCCAAAAATTGTGAAAAAAGGGTAACATCCCCTTGAACAGTTTTCAACTCCTGTAGTGGCTGTAACTATACAGCCTGCTTTTAGAAGCTGGGTATGATTAAAATGTGTAGGCAGAATTAGATTTTGTCTATGATATATCAGTTAGATGGGCCTCATTGTTCCCTCTACTTTCTCCATGATATTTCACTATGGAAGGGGCAGGACACTCTGGTGATAATGGCTGGATCCTAATCCAGGAGCACAGAGTGATTACAGTGATCTCATGTAACAGAAAGCAAGGGTGCCTATGTGTGAGGAAGATATTAAGATATCCGGACTTCTCAGGAAGATGAATTTGTGTGATTGCTCAGCAGGACTCTTGCCTCCACAGTAAGACAGGAAGTTCCATCTGAACCTGAGAAAAAACTTCTTCACTGTGAGGGTGACTGAGCATTGGAACAGGTTGCCCAGAGAGGTAGTGGAGTCTCCTTTGCTGGAGATATTCAAAACCCGTCTGGATGTGATCCTGGGCAATATGCTCTAGGTGACCCTGCTTGAGCAGGGAGGTTGGACTAGATGATCTCCAGAGGTCCCTTCCAACCTAAACGATTCTGTGAAGACACTAGGAGACTGAATCATCCTTAGCAGTAAAACTGTACAGTGAACCTAATGGCTGCCTGTAGTGTGAAAGGGGCTCCAGCCTCCAGCCTGGCACAGGCTGTGATGGCTCTCATGTCCTGTGGACTCTCTGCTGGGCTCTTTAGGAACAGATTAGACAAACGTCTCTCGAGGATAAAGGCAACAGATGTTATTGGTCTTGGTATGCAGTAGGGGATGGAGTAGGACCACTCAAGATCTATGGAAGGTTGACTCTCCTCAATTTACTGAGACAAAACATTTGCAGCGATGACAGACTTATAGTATATCCCTCCCTTCCCAGATAGAGAGATCTCTGCAGGATACGCTTTCTTCTCTCAATGGAATTTTAAAAATGATTCAATTCCTGGAATTCTTGAATTACAGAATCTGAGAGATTTTGCCAGTTTAGAGAAAGCTTGAATAATGCATTGAGGGACTGGTTAGTCTTTGTGCAATCAAAAAATCCTTCCATACAGAACTAACTGAGGCTGCACTGACCCAAAGAATGCCTTATAAATTGTGGTCGAAAGGAATGCAGCTAGTCAAGGTGTCAGAGAGCTTCAGCAGCGTTGTGTTATCTGAAGCTCAGAAAGAGAGCACAATATGGAGACCCTGAAAGACTGTCAATGTTCAGAGTACGTGCCATGGTGTCTATAGCTGACTTAAGTGCCTGCTATGGTATTTGGCATCTAGAATTAAGTATGATGAATGATTCAGGTCACCTAGAATCACAAAGTGTCTGAAGTCTTCAGAGAATTATGAGTGCTGGAGCAAGACAAAAATGAGATGAACTTTAGCCTGAGGTAACCAATGGAATGTGAAAAAGGAGGGCAAAAAATGTTTGAAGAGGGCAAAAAAAGGTTTGAAAAGGGAATATTTTCTAAAATTTGCAGAATTCATCTCTTATCTTTCTGAGACAGCCAGTAGAAAAGGCAGAATTTTAGCAATTACAAGTCTCTGGAATTGCACCCCAAGGTTAAATGGCATGATAACATCATTGACAAAAAGGCTTTGTAGATTACTATTACCACAGTAGTGCCTGGAAATTAGTGAATATTTTTCCCAGAAATGAGGACATACTGGGCTCAGCAGCTTGTGCTAGGTATTTTCCTATTACAAAGCAGCAGGAGGAATAAATCACAAGACAAAGCTGAAGTTAACCTGGAAGGCACCCTGGCTTATGTTGTGGCTTTGGAGTGGTCAGACCCCAGCAAAGGCTTTTGCTCCGCATGGTGACTTTTACCCCCCACCATGGGGTCATGCAGACTAACCAGAAGTTGTGGCAGTCCCCAGAGAGCACAGAAACGTTTTCTAAGAGGAGGATTTACTACTGCCTCTAACAGGATCTAATTCACGATTCTGTGAATGACTTTTGGCCAGGAATCTGGCCATGACTTTGCCTGTTAAACAAGAACAGTAATTTCATGTATGATGAGATCATCCCCAGAGGTCCAGTGAATTAAAACCTCTTCAAGAGACCATAACTTTTTCCAGACGGATAACAAAGCTTTCATTTTAGCCTGGATATTAAAATGTTGACCAACATTTCTATGGAAACACAGTTTAGATCCCATTCTAATTTTAATTTTTAAACCGGAAGACAACTGCTTCACAGTTACAGACATGGGCCATGTTCGTGGGTGCTCATTATGACTGTCTTCAAAAGTAATAACCAACATCCAAATGCAGATTTTTCCGAAGGTCATACAATGCAGGAGGTGGGAACTACATGGAGGATTTTGTCGGGGGATGTGAAAGTCCTTGCCTGTATATTTTTTAGTGTTGGCCAAGAAAGGAAGGAAGAAATAGCAAAATGGTATCAAAATAGTCAGAAAATATCAGTGTCTCTGTAAGTGAGCTTCTTTGCATCCTTGGGAGTGGACAAGTGCCTAATGGGAGCAAAGTCAGACAGAATCTGCAAGACTGGTTATGGAGTATATGTTTCCTAAGACAATAGATATACAAAGTGGCTGGCAACAAGTCTAGGCTTGCACTGATGCAGGTGCCGGAAAACCAGTAGAAAGATGTGCATCCATCTCATTGAAATACGCTCGGCAGGTTGCTCCCCACAGTTCCAACACTCAGTTGCCACTGGTCTGAAATATGAATTACTAGTATAAACTTCAGCTAATTCAATGCAGTGAGAAGGAGTGCTATTTTCCAAGGCAGGAGCTCCTGAACAGATTGTGGCAATGATATCCCGTTCACCTGCAGAGTTTGTCAAAAGAAATAATATAAAACACATCACATGATGTCCTTGCTATCCTGTCACAGATGGATTAATGGCAGGATTGCCCAGATGTTCAAGCAAGTGATTTATGTTGTATGGCTCTGTATTAGGGTAGCTTACAACAGAAGACTACATATTTACCATTGCTACATACAAATGCAATATATGAGGCTATAAATCAAATACCAGCAAAATTGTTTATGAGATGTAATTTAAGGTCTTGCCAGGACTTGTTAGAGTCTCGTTAGAGTCATCCATGCACAGGGAAATTCAGGTTTCCTAGCACTGCAGAGGGCAGGTGCAGGGCAGACAGATGAAGGAAAGATTATGTTCTGTGGTAGTCTACATATAAAATGGCATATTTAAGTAGTAATTGCTCATTTATCCTAATTATAGAACCAACCTGACTAGGACATATTAACCTGCAAATTGCCCATGGCTCTGATGAGCTGCAGGGGCAGAATTCGTTTGGGAGAGCCAACCTGGAGAGTACCTCTTTCTTGGGTTTAAAGCTTATTTCATCTCACTACATACCTTCCAGATTTCCAGTGACTGAAGTGTAGGTGCATTTTTTGGTGGGGGGGAGAGGGCTTGTAGCTTTGTAGTAACAGATTTCTGGGTCAGGAAATTTTCATCACAGAGTCAGAACTGTGGTTGTGTTCTACGTTGGCTAGGTCTAGATCTTCTGTCACTCTCTTGTTGAAGTTTCTAAGTCACTCTTTTCCCTGTACCATGATTCTGTCATTTTCCCTAATTTAGGTGCACTTTAAATACGCAATGATTTCCTTCAACACATAATTCACAGAGACACTGCTGCACTGACAATTTGCACTTCCAGTCGTCCTACACCTGTAAAATATTTGAGGGGGAGTTCAAAGTTTAAAAAAAAAAACCCACAGTCCTTTTTCCTTTAAATTGTTGGAATTGCATAGGAGATTGAGATCATTGACTTTTCATACCTGAGTTTGTCTAGTAACTACACTGCTGTGTCTTTTTGCCTCATCTAATGGTGAATATGTAACACTGGACAGAATAAGAACGCTTCCACTTCCGAGTGGGACATGAAACGCTTCTAAGCACCAAAAGGCACCTTGAAGGTGGTCAGGGAGATGCAGGAAACAGGCAATGAAAAATTCTTCCTCCAAAAAGCCCTCTGCTACAAAACCTCCTGATGGGGAAAACAAACGACAAACGCTTGGATATAGCAGATTGCTCCCAGTTTTTGTGCACATACGTTAATTGATTTGATGCCAATAGTTCACATGAAATTGTTTACCATATTTACTGTCAAATACTGTCAAGTTCCATTCTTCCTCCGTATGTTGCCTCTTAACTCAATCCCCTGGCTGCTCAGTGACATCATATTTTAGAATAACTTTAGCTACTTGCAGTCTTCCACTCATGACTCTTCTTCATTATCTCTTTTCAGACTAAATAATTCCAGTTCTGTCAGTCACCCTCCAGATATAAGTTGCCTTATGCTCCACTCTCTCCAACTCCGTGACGATGTGACCTCAGTTATCTAAAATCTCCAGGGAAACGTGGAGCTCACAAATAATGATAGGTTTGAATAATCACTAGTGTCAGTTCTGCAGATTTCAAGTCTTCAGTTGCTATGATCCCAATTAGCCATAGAGCTGGCAGGCTTAACATTTTATATGCTGAGGTCTGTGCCAGAGATGTAGGCTGGTCCTTGTTTGCCTGACTGGAAACACATTGCTATTACTTTACGAGGGTCCCCAGGACCCTGAACTATGTTTGAAAATCTGCTTGCCGTGCTGACACTAACAAAAACTAACACTGGGGGAAGAGAAACTTTTTTTTTGTTCATTCCCAGTCCCAGCAGTGTCAAATATTTGACATCTTTGAAGTTAT